GACCTGAATAGGAAGTGTAGTGGACGAATAAAGAAGTGTCCGGTCATCCTCACTTTCTTGATCAGGTTCCCAGAGACTGCATTGGATAAGGTAAGAAACACGAGGGCGAACGAAAAAAAAAATGATCAATCGGCGCTCTGACGGACAACATCGATGGAATTCCTATGGATATCGAACTTTGAACTTCGGTATTTGGCTCGAAACGGCCATCATCTCCTGAGGTACCGGATATCAAAGTTCAAAGTTCAATGAGCGGACCTTCGGTAGGTGACGGGAAAGACTTCGCATTGGGGGAGGGGAAAGAACGAAAAACACTTCACTAATCATCGATTTGCCAATCAATTCAATTATCACAATGATTCGCGTATTCCCAAATCAATTCATGAATTGATATACATTCGACTACCAGCCCTGGGAGCAAGTAATGTTGGGCCCGGGCGGCTGCTAGGGCTTCCGTAGCTTGGACATGAAGGTATCTGGGATGTTGTAGTGCAGTCATGGCTGTAGTCTGTAGTCTTGAGTTGGTCCTTCCGCCATCATGCCTCGTTTTGCGCTCGCTACCGTTACTATCGTTGATAATGGAGTATCCTGTGTTTTGGTAGTTGCAGTGTAAGACACTTCATTATCGGTGCTTAAGAGACTTCACAGAGGAATACCACAGAGGAGAAAAATAAATCGAAAATAAAGCTGCGAAGTAGAGATATCACCCACACCTTCCATGGCTAAGCTCCACACGACTTCCACAAGGATTATCTCTCGGGGCAAACACCTGTATTAGAAACAAAATCTCTTGATGTTGTTTACGACCTTTTTCCTAGGAATATAGGAGAAAGCTCACAGACTGGAAGTCGAAAGTGATGATGTCAGAGGCTACCATCTTATATTTTATCATTATATTGATGCTGTCTATAATTTGAACGGTGCTGCATCCAAGCAGTAAGTACCCATTCAGTTTTCAACACGATGACCGCATCGCTGCCCGTCGGATGGTCTCAACCACATCATGTTTAGACTTTTTCCGCTCCAACTTCACCAATACACCTTTTCGCCATGACTCATCTTCGCATGTAAGCTCACCATACAGTATAAAAGGAGGTGAGGAGAAGGAGTACGGAAGGTTCTGCTCCAGCTACAACTGCTCGCTCACAAGTTCGCTTATAACGAAAGATCCCACAAGTGCTCCTTCCTCTCACAAGTTGTGGTGGCAGGTTGATCGCACGTCCTAAAGCTGTGCTACAGTACTGGGTTAGGAGCAGTGAAAAAGTCCCGCCTGGCACTGCGTACAGTTAGCCAATCCCCAATCTTTCCTAGAAATGTCATTCGACGCAGAACAGTTAGGTACTCAGATAAAGAAAGGCAAACTTCAGTTATCGCTCGAGATCAAGCCCTATCAAGTGCTCCCGACAAGGATGAAAAATTGGGTAACAGACATCGACTGACTTGAAAAGTGCAGAGTTTAGAGAAGTCAGCTTAGGGAAGCCATCTCCCACGAATCGTCCAGTTGTTCGTCGTTTTCCGCGAGTGGGCCCCAGCAATGTATCCAGTGGACAATCTTCACACGAAGGATTCCAAGCACACCCTTAGCTCCAAGGATTCCAAGCACACCCTTAGCTCCATTCAGAGCTTTCCGTAGAAATCTGTCCATCGTGCTGGTAGCCGTCCAAGTGTTCTATTGACGTCTCGAGGGATTCAGTCAGTAATCGTCCTAGTCCAACAGTCATCACTAAGTCACATAACAGGTCCAGCCAGCCTGTTCTTCTTGCTCAGTTCTGAAGCCAGGTAGTCAATCACCTTTATTTTTCGGTCGATCTAGGTTGTTGAAGCGTTCAGAGCATTTGTCTCATTGTCGTCCATCTCTGATGACAAATCAGGAGCAAAAGCACCAACCAAACCCCAAACAAATGTTCCCACAACTTCTTCGAGAGCCACCCCATAGAATGGATAACTCAATCGAAGTGATCGTTCGATTGCTCTTTTATTTTTTCTGTAGGATATAAAAATGCCCAAGATGTTTTCTTTCAGAATATAAAATTGGGAAAAATGGAATAGCATTTTCCTTCATTCAGTTCATACTAACAGTAAGTGCCTACTGGTCGGTAGTAACGATGATAAGAGTAGGGTTGTTTAGAATGGTAAACATTCAGAAATCGAGGTACCTTCTTTTGCAGAAGTCCCAAATGATGCTCGTCCTCTCCATGAAACATTAGCTCCAGAGCCAAAACGACGTCAACCCTGAAAATTAATGCATTGAGCCGAAACCCGTAATGCGAAGTCTACTGAGACCGACAGTGAGACCTTTTTGGGTACAATCAGTGAAAAAGATTGAAATGTGATAAGAAAACGAAAGCGTTATTTCAAAATGTCTCAAACAATAAAATCCTTGAGAAGGGGTTGTGGTGTGGGGTGTGTGAAGGTGGGGGAAATGAAATGATGATGAAAAGACCAAAGAAAAAGATAGATTGAGGCTGATTGAGGCTGAACAATCCCCTCGAAGAATCTTTCCTCCCTTCCCTCTCCCTCTTCAGTAGTAACTATAAGAAAAAAATAGGACAAAAAGTGAAAAATAAAAAGAATCGATACTTGCCACCATCGAAGGGCGGCGGCGATCGCTGACTGGGAGGTGCCTTTCCCGCCCTTTATCGATATTCCACGTCAACTACACTCAGGAGCGATGATAGTCGTGTGGGTGGTTTTGGCGCCCTTTATCGATATTCAACTAACGGGTGGCACAGGTCGTTCCCGAGGGTTCCCTAGTGCACGGGAGACCTTTTTTCAATAATGTATTAGCAACCTATTTGAGGTCGTAGATCGAGGTGAAGCGCAAAAAGTCCTGTTAGTACGATCCTTTGGTTTCATCTCAAGGAGCTCGACCTTCTTCATGGAATTCGTGCTACAGCTTCTGGCCCCATAGTTTAGGACCGGGCCAAAGCAAAATGTGAGTCAGTGACTGCGATTTATTCAAAAATTGTACTACGGAGGACAGATCCAATAAAAAATCCAATGAAATACTCAGTACGGTCCCAGAGACAAACTCCAATCGAATGTGGCATCCACAAATGGCATAGAGTTTGAGTTTCCTTACAGTTATCTTATATTCTTGTAAGTGGGCCCATCCCTGACACGCCCACGAGCATATAAGATTGATGTGGAAAAAATACAAGTTTATTACGTACTGCAAGAAAAAAAAATGAAAAATTCTAAAACATCGCCTCGTGAAAGTCCACGAAGGGACACGCGGGGAAACTGATTTTTTGGACCGCCCGTGTTTGGCTGATCGATCAGGAGGTGGGCGGGCCCATCGATGATCTCAATACTCCTTAACAAGGCTCAAACAAAAAACTTTATAACTCCTTAACAAGGCTCAAACAAAAAACTTTATAGCTCTTGGCTAACGCTGGTAGCCTGTTTATCAGCAGACATTAAGCCTACCAGGAACCATCTCTGGACCATCTTGTTAGGAAGAGTAACTCAGTCCCCTACAAATCTTCTACATCCCTACAATTACATCAAGCCTATGTTCTCTATCTGGCCAGTCATTCCGGCATTTGATTTCGAGACATTACTAAAATGTAGATAACCAAACTCTTCCTGGCTTGCTGCCCACCGACAACAGGCAAAGCCGCTCGACTTTGACTGACTACTGTTACCTTAACCGGGTAATACCCAGCTCACTTCAGTAATCAGGTCGCTTTCCTGCAAAGTATGGGAAAGTATCTGTGAAGCCGTAAACAACGACTATCATCAGGCTACCACCAATTTTTGAGAACACTTATAGAATCTTTATGAGAACATGAAATCCAAATTGAAGCAAACAAGAACAGCACGTTTTTTGGTGGAAGCACTTTTGCAAGGTACGGGTTAAGAAAAAATACAAAAAATACAATAAAAATCACACAATGCAGCCGCGATTGGAGGCACGAGCAAAGGCGCCATCACAAGTACAGTCAATTGAGCGAAAATAAAAAAAAACTTATTCGATGCCAAAATATCATAGACGCCTAAAGCTGTAATTGCGTAGCATTGACAAAAATAATCGAACCTATACCTAGGCATTGTAAAAAAAAATAAAAAACTTAATAAAACGAATGGATGGGCATTTGAAAAGTAATTTTTGAATTCAAAAAAAAAATGTAAGAGATCATTTACAAGCAGTGAATAACACTGGTACAAGACGTCAGCTGGTCATAGCGATCCTTAAAATTTCTAAATTCACATGGGCGATTGAAAAACTCTTCACTCTATAGCGATTCCTCTTTTGTGCGGACGATACGGTAAGACCGTCGAAGGGTATTTTGAAACTGAAGAGACAAGAAAGGCTAAAACGTGCCGCAAGTCGCGGAAGGAGTCCAATCTACGTGGCACTGGCTTGGTCTTTCTCTTGGCGTTGATCAATCCCGTTTCTGGGATGCTCCTGCGTATGTAGCCTAAGATCAGACGATCTACAAGTCGGGTCTTCCGTACTCTTGGAAGAGCCTGGTGGCAACAATTCGACCACAAAGCTATGAAAGGGTTGGCTTGGCTGGGTGGGTGTCATGACGAGGTTCGATCCGCCGACTGTGCGTGGGATAGTGCGCCATTTGGCCCTACACCACATCCGCTTTTACTTAAACTGCATAAATATTGAGTTATAGACGAATACTGCAAATCTAGATATTGAGTTGAGTCGTAAGGCAAAGGCGTAATTGGGTAGGGACCAAGTAAACTGCTACTGTTCGTACGGCCCTGGGATCAAATCTAGGACCGGACTATTGGCAGTGGCCAAGACAACTGAGCCTACAGTGCATCTCGGGAAGGTCTGCTGAGTGATACCCGACTCATCTGGGAGGATTACAGCATTGACTTGAGATGTGTCTCAGAAATTCGAGTATCCCGCATGTGCGAAAGTGTTTTATATGTTCATGGGCATTTGGATAAACCATGGGGGAACAATAACAAAATAACAAATAGCTAATCGATATCCTAACAATGAGCACGATCAACAACAATTACGTCGTCAGACACTATGAGAAACCGACAATCCGATGAATTTCATCCATATTCTGTTCGGCTATTGATCGTGCCTTTTTTCCGTTTTCGAAAAGGATCCCATCCACCTGCAAAGGCGACGAATCCACGAAACTCAATCTTCACTTTGAAATGGGACAACAACCTCCTGTCCTTTCTCCAATGTCAGGAACTTCTCCCTGATCGGTAAGAAGCGCTCGGCAACAGCTCGCGACAGCTGCTTTTTCAATTCTAGTTGATCCCAACCGCTTTCTACTACAGTTGAGATGTTAGCGCCTGTTACGGCACAGTAGAGATCAATCTAGAAGGTTCGAAATTTGGTGGTTGGTGTCGACAACGGGTTCAATGTTTCTCGTACCAAATTGCTTATGGCAGGTCGTGTGTCACGATTGTACGAGAGTCGTGATTCGAAATCACTGACAGCTTTTCGGCATTTCTCTTCAATTTCTTCGGCTGAATCATTGATCTGAAACGAAAAGGAACTCCTAGGTATTTCTGAATTCAACAAACGTGTAGCCTGAAGGGACCAATGCGGATCTAACCCAGACCTTTCGGACGTGGTGCCTCCGTACTTTGAAGGCCTCGGATTAATAACTTCTCATTTTTGTCTTCATCCTTTGATATCCATTACCCAAACTATAGCAATGGCCATTTATTGATCAATTTTATTTATTAAAAAACAGTACGTAGTCCAAGTAGGAGTATAGGGGTTATCGTTATTTTTATCCGTAAAAAACCAAATGGTAAAAAAGAATGAGCCAGGAAAGAAGTCCGCATCATTGAGAGTACGTAGATTCACCTGTTCCCTACTGCCCTTCATAGCAACCAAGCTGATACTTGCCGTAATCATCACTTACCTCTAATCTCGATCTCTCACTTTTTTCTGATTTACTCATTTTCTTGGAAGGGTCTCGTAAGCTTCGCAGGCGAGAGGCAGTCGTCGGCTGTACCACCTAAATGCCCTCACATCATAAATCGTCTTTGTTGACAGCTCCAGAGGAGTACTTTCCAGATATCTGAGGAAAAAACATTACTACCTGCTTTGGTCGTGGGAAAAGCGAAGTTTTATAGAACATATTGAAGTGGTCAGATAAATCAGCCAAAAGGTTCATATGTTGAGCTTGATCAGCCCCGACCGGTACATGAGTTGCCTGGCATTGAAATGGTTGAAAATGAAGCTCATAATTTTTTTCAAATCGATTTCATTTTCACAGAAAACATACCTTGAACATTAGGACATCAGCTGATTGAAGGACTGGATAGGTAAGAAGCCCAACAGGTACATCGCCACGAGGGAACCTTTAAAGCCGTGGAATGACTCCATCGTGTTGGCGTTCTATTTTTTAGATTTCGAGCAGAAATGAGCCCAAAGGAAGAGACCACATTTACAAAAACGAGCATTAAGTTTACATCATATACGTTGGATTCGTTGCAATTGAGTTCCTTTTTGTAAGTTCGAGGTTAAAACTAACTTGACCGCTTTCTCTTTGTATTGTGGCAACCGCTGCAGTTGAGCGACTGTTTGTAAAGACCCAAGAATCCAAGAAAGTTGTGAGATCTGTGGGACGTCGCTCTGACGGAACAGCAACGTTCTAGATGGGTCTACACCACAAGCCAATAAACTGCATGCCATCCGCCGAATGTTTTCGCGTAACTAAATAATTTGCAATGATGAATTTTTGAAATAACACAATTATCGTTCTAAACTAAGAAAATTGATCAAGCTATAACCGTAGCTGAAAAACCGTAATCTAAACGACTCTACAAAACTGAAAATAAAAGCTATGATGGGCTCGGATGATTATCATGGGTAAGCGAAAACCCCAGTGATGAATTGCCGTCATCGCGCCTATGGTTTAGTCGCAGGCCCACAGTGGAGCTTTGAAACGTTTTTTAGCCAGGGAAACTTAGGTTTCCACCTAGACCCTCCACACTAACCTATAGGAAGAGCACCGAAGTGGGTGGATACTCTTTGCTAGCACACACCGCCTCCATTTTGGATAGAAATGAATCAATAAATGAATGAAGGTTCAATTCCTCCACATCCCAGCTCTTTATGAGGTGTTCATCTCCTCCATCCCGGTGCTCCTCATCTGGCTCAGATTTAGGCATAAAGAAACATAACCCTGGGTACGAAATGTCAGCGGGTGCCATTACAGGCTCGCAAAGCCGCTCACTACCCCTTGTCTGCGCTTCAGCGTTCAGGCCTAGAGACGAAGGGTTTGTTTCTCAACTATAACTCAAAGTTATGAAAACATTGTAGCTGATTTTGGAGGAATCATATGCTATGGAGAAAGTTCTCTTACCTCCGTGGGAGGCTTCGGGCCAAGGGAGATCGCATGCTGATCGGCTACAGCCAAGATCATTTTTGTGCTAGAAGGAAGATCCTGAAATGAGCACGCTAATGATAAACTGTTGGGCGTTTCTTTCTCCACTATGATCACGTGAATACTAAATGCATTATCGTTTTATTAGAATTTTCATTGAAAACCTACTTTTTGGAGTTTTGTCCATGGTTCGATAAAGCCAAAGTAGTTCCCAAGATGAGGAAC